GCGGGAGCGCTGCCATGCTTCCCAAGCGGCGCACTTATCCAGTGCGCCACCGGGCCGGCCCTTGATGAGCATTCTTTAGAGAGATTTTGGTGAGCTGTATTAAACCAGATGGTTTAGTCAGGAACCTCATGCCTTTTTCCCACTTTGCAAATCTAAATTTACACTAATCTGGAGTTTTATAGCTTTGAGTTTTTAATCTCCATCTGGCCTTCTGTGAATTTTCCACTACCTCTCAGCCATGACTCAGGCAGATCCTCATCCCTGGATCTCTCCTAGGTCCTCCTCATAGGCTGGCTCTACAGCAGCGATTGGTTGGGTCAGAGTGGGATCACTTGTGCGTTCTTGGGTTTTGGTATTTTTATATTTAGAGTTTTTGGTATTTTTTTTTTCCTAGTGTTTTCCCTCGTGAGTTGAAAGAAGTGTTTGCATCATGGAAGCAGCAGTGTCTGAACCGTAGCAAGCAGGACATCAGTGAGCGACTCATTAGTGCCTCATTGTTTCTCCGTTTTCTGTGTCCTGCCATTATGTCTCCCAGCCTTTTCAACCTTATGCAGGAGTATCCTGATGACCGCACATCCCGGACTCTAACTCTTATTGCCAAAGTCATTCAGAACCTGGCCAACTTTGCCAAGTAGGTGATGCTACCATAACCACTTTAAAAACATATTGTTTAATGCAGCTGGGATACTGACATTGAAAAAACATTAGGTGTTTAAAATATTCTCATCACCTGGCTGCTTGGTATTTACTGACTTCTGACTCCCTCAAAAAAAATAAATAAAACAAACGAACAACAGAAAAAAAACACCACACATTCTTTAAAAAAATACATGAGGCCTAAAATTTGGATGGGTATGGGGAGCCTCATCACTCATGTTAATAGATTTTCATTGTGATATTAATAAAAATTGCAGAAAAAATGGAAACGACTTAAATATCACTTCATAGAGAACTAGTTTAAGTAACCTATGGTACATGCATTCAATGGAATATTTGCAGCCACGACTGTGTTTACCAAGAATATCCAATAAT